CCTAAGTAACTGAGATGCATCAGTCATATCATTATGTTCTGCCTGCCTGGTATCTTGGCATTTTTGTTTTGTTTTTGCAGTCTGGTTGCACAAGTATATAAAAGCAATTGTTTTTGCCAACACCAAGGAAAAACATTTTATGATTCCCACTTCAGTGAGTGACTACAAGTTCACTAGAACCATGACAGTTTTGTTTTTTCTTGTTTTTAAGGTTGGATACACACCACTGAAATATCTAGCTAATAGAAGCAAAGGAAAAGTACTTAGTGTTTCTAACCTAGACCTGTGGTCAAGGCAAAGAGCATCTCTACTGAGTTTAGAAAAATCAACAGAATAGGGAGGCCAGGGAGAATTTTCTCTTCTTTCCTGGCCCACATTGCTAGGTTTCTTTTTCAAACTATGTTTGATTATATTTTTGTACCCTCTATTATTTTTGGCTATTTAGAGGTAATGGTTATCTTTAAACAGTGCTTTGCAATAATCTTCTATTAAACTTTACTGTATCTATTCATGTTTATTTTTAGAAGGAGGATTTTGAAAAGGTCAAACAGTATCTGCATAACTATAGTCCAAGAGTACTTATACTTAGCAGGGGATCAGGCATGTACAGGTGTTGGATCATTGTGAAGTGGGAATGTATTCAAGTTCATGCTTCACTGAGAATCTTCTGTGAAATACTTAAAAGTGACAGCAGGCCTTCAAAGTAGGCATGTGGGCTTAGGAACCTTTGAAATGGGTCAGAAGCACCAGAGGGATAGCAGCAAAGGTAGCATCGGGGATCTGGGCTTGTCGTTCTTCCAGGCTCAGCCATCTCTTCATGTCTACCTTTCTTATTTGCTGGAATTCTATTTTTTTTTTTTTTTAAAACACAATGGTGACATCCATCCTGTTGCTTTTCATGTTGTCCTCTCATAGAAGCAAAAATTTGCCTGTCTCGGTGTGGTCTCAGCCTGCATTTGCATCCTTGCTGTGCTGTTAGTAGCTAATGGACCACGAAGAAGAAAGAGAACCTTCTTTGAGTTCCAGGGTCCTTACTTACAAGTGGGAGGTCTTACTGCCTACTTCAACATGGGGCCTGTGTCTGCATGGAGAAGCTCTTCACTAAATGATAGCTTTTCCCTACCATTTTATGATCAATTACCATTAAACTAGTATGAAATAAATTGAGGAGACATGATGGATTACTCAGGGAAGTAGCGTAATAGGAGGTAAAAGCAAATCTGAAGTAAATAGTTTACTTATAAAATTAAACGTAATTAATTTTATTTTGCAAAAGTTAACAAAAACATATTCAGACTTGTTTTTTTAAAACATATGTTTGTTTGATTTTTAACAAATATGCAAGTTGATTATTAATTTGGCATACAAAACATCTTTCTTTCTACCTCTTGGATTTTTTCCCTAAAAAAACAAAACAAAACAAAACAAAACAAAACAAAACAAAACAAAACAAACCTTAAAAAAAAAAGACAAACTCAATTTACATTACTACCTTCCAGAATTACTAACATTAATGCTTATAAAGAGGAAAGAAAAATTTCAAAGCTTGGGCTTTGGCATTCACATTTGATTCAGCGGTAAAAACTTATATTTCCTCTTATGATAAGAAATTTTGGAGGAAATTTGATAAAATTTATTTCTTTTCCTGCAAAGGAGCCACTGCAGCAAGGCGTTTCACTGGGCTGTTGCATTCCTGCTGGGAGACTGTTACTTCCAGCCTACTTATTGGCTTTTCTTCTTGTACTCAATATCCTTTTTTTTTTTTTTTTCCTCCACTGAGTGAAAGCATAGAAACATTTTTTTCTCTCTCCAACCCCAGCATCATGCAAAGGCAAAGCAACATCAAAAGTCACAACTATCTGAATTTACTTGGATTATATTTTGTTATGTTTTATAATATTGGCTTATTTATCAAAAATTAACATTGTTGATTTTAAATATTTGAAACAACTTATGAACCGTGTTTTAACAAAAACAATTTCTCCTAGCCTGCTCTTCTACATTTAGGTAAAATAATTTTAACTACATTTAATGAAAAGAAGTAAAATAATTTTAGGTATCGGCAGTTTATTAGAAAATAAGACTTTAATGAGTCAACATAATTCATTCACATCTTTTTATACATTGTAAACAAAGATAGGATACTTTCAACAGTAGCCTATGGAGGATTTTTTTTTTTTTTGGTAGTATATCCATCAGTACAGAATAGATATCAAGGAAACATTTTAATGTAATTCTGGTAGGGTCCCTTATGAATTTATTTTCCAAACAAAATTGTATGAAGATATCTTAATTTTTTAAAAAAAGTGATAAATTCTCATTTGAATGAGCATGGTATGTTAGGCAAAGGCTTTGTGTTTTCCATAGTCAGAGCATAATGTAGAACATACATAAGAAACAAGAGAAGCATCTATCTGAAACTCCAGGCAGTATGTAGGAGTGCAAAGAGAAAAATGCTTTTCTGGCCAGAGAGCGAACGATGGCACAGTAGTCACCTAAATCAGTAAGTGTTAGCAACATAAATGTGCAATGCCATTTCATTTCACAGAGTGCAAATCAGATCAGTTGGATATTGTATTGTGATAGCCACATATTTTTGAGAAAAATTCCCAAGCCAGGCGAATGTGGATCGGGACGAAGACGTAGGCAGTGTACACCACCATGGCAACAATGGTTAGGACGACGGTGTTGAACATGGATTGCTCCCAGGGCTCCAAGACAGCGCAGCATGTGATGATTTGGTATTGGTAGTAGAGCCAAGAGAAGTACTCTTTCACACGCCTGAAATCCATGCTCATGATGCTCCTTCAAGCTGTAGAAAGTCCACCCTGTTAAGGAAAATGACAGAGGAAAAGAAAAAGAAAATAAGCAACCAAGCACAGAATTCCCTTAAATTTTCATGACTTCTGCATGCTAATATCTGTGAATGTTAAAGATCGTTGGATGGATTATTAATACGAATACTATATAGACATTATATAATATTATATAAATATGTAATACTGTATATATGAATATAATATATTGTCACAGAAAATATTGCCACAACTATTAAAAGTAATTGCTATAATTTACAGAATATATATATATATATATATATATATATATAATGTATTTAGTACAGGGTCTCACTATGTAGATCAGGCACTGTCTCAGTGCGCCCTGGGGATGGGGCTGGCACAGCACACCAGGGAATGAACTCTGATCACTGTGCTCTGCCTAAACATGTGCTTTAGTCTGCTGAGCTGTCAGGTCAGCCCAAGAAATTATATTGTTAATAATATCTCTCTAAAACAATAATTTCTAGTAATAATTCTAATGATAAAACTACTTCAAATGGATTTTAAACACATTTTCTTTATCCATATGTACATATACAAATAGAGATAATAATGAACTTTTATATTTCCAGCAACATGTATTCTGACAGAAAAATTGAAGAATGGTATGCAGAAAACTTAAATCTAGCAAGCTTGAAGTTTCTGTCTTCAGAGGGGCTGCCTAGTGAGTTTGACCCTTGGCTGGAATCTGAGAGTTAACTGTTCACTCCAATCCCTAGTAGGTTAAAATGTCTCACTGTGGTTAGATTCTACACATGGTGTACTTTATGGTGAAAATTACTATACTCTGGTGGTCTGAAATTTTATAAATTTCCAGACCAAGTGTGCCTAGTGTCCTCTTCACAAACCCCAGTATAAAGGTGCATTGGTCACTGAGTCTCTAATGGGCATTTCTCTGGCAAGAACATGACTCCTACAGATGCTCTTTGACTTACAATGGAGTTATTTTCCAATAAATATATGATAAACTGAAAGTACTGTAAGTTTTAGAAATTCATTTAACACCTCTAACCTTTGGAGTGTGTATTCTGAGCAACAGAGCACAAGGTAACGTATTGGTTGTTTACCATGATGACACGGCATTGATGTGCTTTTGTTTATGTGTTCGCTCACAGCAACACCAGACGCCTACAGAAAAGTTTCTCCTGTGTCTTCTTTTCCTGCTGATCCTGGTGTATATTTTACTGTAATATCTTAGCTTTGAGTACAAGTACAGTATGTGTTGAGTCCTTCTAGTTCACTGGTGGTGAACCTCGGATGTGGGTATTATTGTGATTTTTATGTAAGACAAAAGATTTTAATTGTGAGGTTTTTTATCCCCTTAAACTAAAACCTCAATATTCAGGTTTAACTGTAGTGTTGGTACTTTGTGAGAAATAAGTGGGTTTTCAGTTTCAGTTTGGCACTTGGCCTCTGAAAGGTTTGCCATCAGGGTTCTAGTTAACCGCTGAATATGTGGGTGGTCTTGGAGACCCTTGAAACAAATGGGATGCTCGGAGGGTACTTTTGAGTGGTCATTTGGTTTGGGGATCCAGCGCTTAGGAAACCTCTATAAAAATGTTTTGCTGGCCTTCCAATGGGACTTTAGTTATAGCCATATGTAAAATTTTCCAGAAAGAAAAGCACTCAGCATTTCTTAGAAAGATATCTGCAAAAGTCTTGCTGACCTCTAGAGACACTGGAGTGGGTGACGGGGAATTCAGGTGCACCCCAGTGCACCTCTGCTTATTCCTGGGTATCACGTCATAAAAGTCTGTCTTGATAATTTTTGCTATCCTTGTCAGAGGTGAAATGTTTTGAAGATCATCTTTTTTGGGGCATGAATGTATCTTTTATTTAATTCTCTTTTGAGTAGAAGCAAGGTACTTTTCTGTCTAAGACTGTGAACTCTTTAGCCTGAAGGGAGACACTGTTTGAACACCAGATCCTAGACCAATTCTTGGCATAAATATTGGTCTCTAAAAGGGGCCCATAAATATTTGCTGAACAAAATGAGTGAGAAATAATCAATCAAAAATAATTATAGAGCACTCATAGTCTCAATGCTAGTGGGATGCAGTTAGCTTTTGTTGATGTTCATAGAGCTTGGATTTGAGAAGAAGCAACATATTTGAAAAGGACCATTTCTACAAAATCTCAAAAAAAAAAAATCCTTGTGTGACCAGGTCACAGTTACCTGTAATAAGAATGGAAAAATTCAGATAGACAGATAGTACAAAATGGAAACAGTTTTTCTTTCCCATGAAAAGAAGTCAGCCTCTGACCATCCCAGAAACTACAGTGAGAACTAAAAAGCTAGATATAAAAGCCTGATCCTGGTGGCAGAACTTCAGGGAGATGCTACCTCCATCTTTTTAAGCCAGTTCTGGCTGTAGAAAAGGAGCGAAGATGAGGCGGGCTAATCAGAAGAAATGAGCAGCAGAAGGAGTACTACAGCCCATTTGTGCTGTTACAACAAAACCCTAGAAGCATGTAACTTACAAATAAAAGAAATTTATTTCTCACAGTTCTGCAGTTAAGAAGTCCAAGATGGGAGCACCGGCAGGTACGATGTCGGGAGGAGGCCCTGTCTTTGCTTCTAAGATGGCAACTTGAAGGCCAGTCCTTACATGGTGTTTCTACCACAGATGGAAGGGCAAAACGCATGAGTGCTGTGTGCAGCCTTCTTTATAAAAGCCTAATCCCATCCACAAGGGAGGAGAGGCCCTAATTAGCTAACCACTTCCTAAAGACTCCACCTCTTAATACTATTGCTTTGGAGATTTGATTGCAACATGAATTTTGAAAGAGGCATAATAAACATTCCAACTACAGCCCAGTGATGATTGCAGGGAGTTAGAGTACCCTGGCATGAAAATTTTCTACAGATAGGTGAAAGCAGTGAAAACTCAGAGTTAGCACTGTTTGAGATCTTAGACTGTTCTAGGTGATTTAAGTCTGAAAAGTTTTCTGCATGGGCACCCACACTTGCTTTCCCCTAAATCATCAGAGTTTAGGGCAGTTGTAGTAACTGAGAGGGAGCCTGAAGTACATTAATGAGATATCCTGTCAGGCTGCAGTAGACAAAGATGAAGTAAAGAGTGCTCAGACAGACACTCATTACCCTTAGGAAGGAGAACCTGAAGAAGTGGGAGGGCCACCCTGCATGCAGAAATGGAGGAAAGGCTGTTGTCTTTAACCCATGAGTGAGGGAAGCCATGTTATTATTAACTGGGAGAGGCTGTTGTGGGTTGGAGTTGAGGAAGAGTTTAGCTTAAGTACATGACACTGCAATATAAAGGCAAGTTGAAATGATTTTGGATATCAATCATTTTAAAAAATCAATTTCTCTACTCTTCCTATGGGCATCACTCTTTTAGAATTAACTATGTCGTGAATATCTGTTTGAAGTGTTCTGAGTATGCCTTTCAATTTTATAAATAAGACACTATTGTTTGTTTGGATACATCATTGACTTTTTTCTCCATATTGTAGTGTTTAAGGTGTACTAATTTTTCTCCAGGTCATTCTGTGGATATTAATTACAGGCTTGTGAGCGATCTGGAGCCACAGGCACCAAGTTAGTGGTGTCCAGATTCCTGAGCCTTAGAAATAGAGACAACCAATGTTTATTATTTTATGCTGCTGAAAGTCAATGAATCAGTCAATTAAAAAAATAAGAGATGAGACACATGCAACAGATATTACACCAAGGAAAGATGTAGGGTGAGGCCTGGGTCACAAATACCCCAAATTTACAATGATTTAAAATCTGGCCATTTTACACATACTACCATACTGCCAACAACTTAGCCACTTAGGATTTAGACATTTTCTTCTTGAGTTTCCACAGTCTTTCATTTCTTGGCCCTCTAAGTCGCCATTTCTGATACATGAAAATTGCTTTTATTGTTACATCTCAATTCAAATCTCATGAAGTCTGTCATTCCACAAAGGCACTGGTTGCCCTCCTGCCTTTGTTTCATTTTCTTCTTATGGATGCAAAGGAAATTTAAGTGTTGTTTATTATTTGTTTCTTCCATGAAAAGGTGAGAAGGGACACAGGTGGTTATTATTAGTAGGCCATCTGCTATAATCCATTCTTAGAATGTACATTATTTTAGGTTATAGATTTACTTAGGTAATATATTTTTCCTTTCTTATGAATCTATTTTGCCCTATATGGTGACATGCACTATTAGAATGAAAAATTTTATACTATTTGATTAATACTGTGTGTAGGAAAATTTATTCATTTGGTGAATATACACAGAACAGCAATGGCCTCAGAAGGATTCTGTCCTGAAAGGCACTGCAGATGGGAGGGGCTCTTCTGGGTCATGTAACAAGCACACAGTGAATAAGGGATTGGGATTGCACACTACACAAAAACATGCTAAGAAGGGAGCTGGGGAAAGAGTCCAATTTTATGGAAATAAGATAATAGAAATGCCACAAAATTAATTATCTGTAAGCAACCTAGAACTAAATTGCAGCAAATATCTTAAAACCTTGGTTTTTCACAATAGAATGTGAAATTAATTTACCTACTTCTTTAAAGACCCAATGCCATATCCTACCCAATGACTTGAAAAGTTTACTCAAATACACAGTGATTCTTCTTATGTTTAGTTATGTTTTCTTAAAAGGTAATTCTCCATGTATAGGAAAAGAGAAAATCACTTCTTTCTTTCTTTCTTTCTTTCTTTCTTTTTTTTTTTTTTAACAATTCCTCTGAACCCGGTGGCTTTTCAAACTCACCTAGATTTTTAATGAGCTTGTTTATTTAGAGGTGGCATTGATGGAACAAACTCTGGTGCACCTCCATGAGCTCCTGGTCTGATGCTGAACCCGTCTGGTGGCACTTGCTATAGGCTGAATATGCAGGCACTGAAATTCTATGTTAAAATCTTAAGCCCAAAAATGATTGTATTATGTGCAAAGGGCCCCAGAATGTGATGACACCAAGGCAAAGCCCTCACACGTGGGATTAGAGTGATGCCAGAAAGTGCCCTTTCCCCGTCTGTTGAGTGAGGACACAGTGAGAAGATAGCTGTCTGCAAACCAGGGAGAGGCCCTCATTAGATGCTGATTCTGCAAAGCCTTGGTCCTGGACTTCAAGGCTCCAGAACTGAGAGAAGTGTTTCCCTCTGGTTGATAAGCTACCCACTCTACAGTGCTATTACAGGAGGCTGGACACTAAATGAGGTCCTTGGGTGATGGGGAGGGCAGGGTCTTCTAAAGGAGCCCATCATCTGGGGGACTGTAGTTCTTAGGAGGACCCAGTGAAAAACAAAATACTTGATATTCCCTGTAAAAAGTGGGGGATCAGATAAAGTCAGCAGTCACTGCAGAAATGGATCCCTCAGCCCAATGGAAGGCTTTATGCTGTCGTTTTAAAGCCATGGTAAAATCTTCAGAGAAGACCATTATAGTATACTATTCTAACATGCCTAATGGATTTAATTTATCATCATTTTCCCAATAAGGAAACAATTATCACTTTCACAGGATTACTTATAGTTTAGAAATTGCTTTTATCTTACTGGTACAATGTAGAGTGTATGGGAATAAAGATACACTACACAATGATCCAAAGTCTTATTCTTCTACTTATTGGCTCTATGACCTTGGGTAGTCACCTACTTGTCCTTGTCCTCAATGTCTTTATCTGGGGAGATAATAATCTGTACTGCTTAGAACTGCTTTCAAGACTGACAGTAATACAAGTAAGGCCTAAATCCTTACTACATATATTGAGCTGTAGGGGACTCAGGTCAATAATTTCTGACATTGTCAGTGAAGTGGAAGACCCAATACTATTATGGACCACTGGACTCTTTGAATATTTTGCTGAGTTAGCACACCTATAATATTCAAATAACAGAACTAAACAAAAAAAGGGGATACAGATGAATGTTCATTTTGTATCTGTGTATTCAAAATGGTTAGAATAGATACATAGTTGCATTCTCTTAATGAAAAGAGGGATTTGTTCTAATAGTGTTTGTAAATAGGATATCATGTCCGCATCTTGTACAGCAATTAACCACTAGGAAGAATGTATGCAATATGTTAATTATTGAAACTGTCCTACCAATTTGGTTTGAAACTGTCTCATTGCTATTTGTTTTAATAAAATTATGGGAAAAAATAAATTAATATAAATCAAAAAAAGGAACCTACATATGGAAGAAGTGCTTTACTTAAAGATTTTCCCTTCTCCTTTACTTTCACTTATTGATTGAAAACAATTTTCAGCATGTGAATATTTGCACTCAGAATATTCCAGTGCATATTCTGTGGGAATTACAGTCAATATGCTATGTTGAACAAAACAGTCATGGCTATTGCCCTCAAGTATTATAATCTAGCTAAGTGTATTCCACCAAAACATATTTTAAAACCTATGTGAAGTAGCTAAAGTGTATCCTAGAGTGCGGGTATCTGGGTGGACTATAAAGCTCTCTCAAACCAAATGACCCACTTTAAGGAAAAAGACCAAGCCATGGGGTAATATTAAACTGGTATTAAGTTGAAAGGTGTTAATCTAATTTGTCAAGCCAAGTTCAAGTGACTGACACATATGCGACTGTCATGGATTCACATCAGTCCTATGAATTCACATTGGAAGAAGTAGGAATTCTAATGGAGATTCTTGTGTTCTTCTAAGGTCAAGTGAAGAGAATGCAAGCAGGTGTGAAGGACATGTAGGAAGCCCCAGTCCCACTTTCTTTCAGTTTTCCCAGACCTTATCCCATTCTTTGATGGGATATATTCCTGATGTTCTATAATTCAGATTCTTGTCCTGCCACTGAAAGGCTGAATGTGTATTGATTGTAATTATTATTGGGAACTAATAAAGCCTAAAATTCCTATTAGTAATGTATATCAGTGTGGAGGAAAGGCTCAAAGGGGAGCTTTGCCAGATTAGGGGTCAAGGAGGGTCATTATTATCTTGAGAACCAAATGGAAGAAATGGAGTCCTAAACAGAACCCCACTGGTGGAACAGGAACATGGTGAAAATGAAGAATTTAAAGAATTATAATTTCTTTAAAGAGTTATGTCATCCTTAAATGGAGACTTACTTGTCAATTTTTATTTTGAATGTCACTATCCTTTCAACCAACAGGTAAAGAGTTTTCTTTCACTGGATTTCTGTGCAGTGGGGAAGGAGAATAAGTTTCATCTCCTTTTCCAGACTGAGAGGGAAATGGTTTGGAACACACATTGTTAGGGAGTGGAGCTCTGTTCCAACTGGAATGGCTAAGAAAGTAAGCAAGTGTAGCAAGCATAAAGACACACCTGCTAACATAAAACCTTTTGTCTGAGTCAGGACACAAAGCCAGTATAAAGGGAATACAGAGGAGAGGTAGTGGCTAGACTTGCTCATGAAGTTCTTTGTTGTTTTTTGTCCTTGGGAACAGGAGTGGTAAGAAGTTAGGCAACTGCAGTGAAGGATGGGTTTCAGGTAGTATGGGACAATGACATTTACTTAGAATTTTGCAGAAGATGTGATACTGCAGCCCTCCCTTGTCTAAAGAACAAGTACTCGACACTGGGATTTTATTAATAAAGGATTTCTTTTTAAAAAATTAACTTCCTTTCTGAATAAAAAAGACCTAACATAGTTGGGCT